TCTCCTCCAATGGTTCTAAAAGGGCAAGTGGCTCTCAGAGCCTGAACAAAAGACTCCCTTTGGGTGCCGAATTTTAGCTGGGTGCCAGGCGCTGGGATCACTAACCGGGCCTCTTGGAGGCCCTGCCTTCCATACCACACACAAGGGGGATATTTATTCTTCCTCTTCTGCAGACTAGGCCGAACAGGAAAAACAGTTGTTGAACACGCGCGATGTGCTCTTCGTTCACCACTAAAAATACATCTGGGATCGACAGAACTTTCTTTAAAAAAATAAGCAAACGGTTGTTTTAACAAATAAAGTTTACACTCGGACAGGACTTTCCGGTACAAGTCCCCTTTCCGGATTTTCTGCTATCCATATTAAGCATCAGTGACATCTTGTGCTGGAGAAAGCATTCCTGGTTAAAAACACTGAATATTGTTTTTACAGGGCTCTTTTTGTAGCAGGAACTCCTTTGCATATTAGGCGACACACCCCTAATGTAGCCAATCCTCCAAGAGCTTACAGAGCTCTTCCTACAGGGGCTACTGTAAGCTCTTTTTTTTTTTAACCAAAACAATTTTATTTATTGTAACACTTGAATACAGACAATTGTAACATTTGAATACAAACAGCAAATCGCTGGTTTTCTTCATATAAAACAAAGAATTACAATAATATCAGTAAATATAGGAATTACACTGAAAAACCTTGAAAGCCATACAATATTTAACCAAGCAATAACAATTTGTATTTAGCATCATAAATAGTTTTCCAGTCAAAATTATCAAAGGTAAGTTTTCCAATAATGGGGTACCATTTCCCTATGGGGATGTTATTAAACCTATGGCCTGATGATAGCATAACAACAAATCAAAAACAACTAATTAATATTTTATTAACAGCTACTGTAAGCTCTTGGAGGATTGGCTACATTAGGGGTGTGTCGCCTAATAGGCAAAGGAGTTCCTGCTACAAAAATAACCCAGTTCACTGATTCTGGAGTGTGCAAACAGGGTCTGGGCATTTCTCTCCCCATGTGACGGTCAGGTGTAAGCTGCAGGTTCTCCTCCATTCTTACACAGAGTGAGTCCCATTCAGATCTGGACCACAGCCCATACGGAGAAGGTACTTCAGCCTCCCCCCCCCCCAATGCCATTTCCCTGACCTGCCATTGTCCTCTGGGGTTAGGGTTGCCACGCTTAGGTTGGAAAATACCCGTAGACTTTGGGGGTGGATCCAGAAGGGGGTGGGGTTTGGCGAGGGGAGGGGCCTCAGCATGGTACAATGCTATGGAGCCCACCCTTCAAAGCAGCCACTTTCTCCAGGGGAGCTGAACTCTTTCGGCTGGAGATCGGTTGCAAAAGCGGGGGATCCCCAGGCCCCACCTGGAAGCTGTAGCAACACCGACCTGCAGTGTTAGGAAAGTCAAGTAACGAATAAATTTACACTGCAAGAAACTTTTGTAAATTAATGTGTTCTGTTTATAATTTGTTGTTGTTCAGTCGCACAGTCGAGTCCGACTCTTCGCGACCCCATGGACCAGATCACGCCAGGCCTTCCTGTCTTCCGCCGTCCTCTGAAGTTGGCTCAATTTCATGTTCGTTGCATCTATGACACTGTCTGACCATCTAATCCTTTGCCGTCCCTATGTTCTTTGACCTTCAATCTTTCCCAGCCTCAGGGTCTTCTCCAGTGAGTGCTCCCTTCTCATTGGGTGGCCAAAGTATTTGAGCTTCAGTTTCATTATCGAGCCTTCCAGGGAACAGTCAGGGTTGTTTATAATTAACATTCTATAAAGAACATTGTGTATTCTTATAACATCCTAATCAGGTATATATGTTCAGTACATTCAATATAACAATAACATACAGTTCATGCAATATAACTACTACCAGTCAATTTTGCATCGGTATTTTAAAAGTCAAACCCGAACGGGAGTTTCCAGAATCACACGCCCGCTTCTGCTTGCATGAAGTCTTCCAGAAGGGGGGAAAGCTTTCATTTATAGTTGTGTGGATGCTTATTTATTTATTTATTTATAGCCCGCTCTCCCCGCATGCGGGCTCAGGGCGGCTTACAACATTGGCACATTGCCGATAAATTAGGTATAATAACAACTGATTGGCACAGTGATGAGATAATACGGAGAACAAGAAAAACTGTGAAAAAGTGACGCTTCATATAAGTCTTTAAAGAATCATAGAAAAGTGAACAAAAATAATATACATCATCATAGAAAAATATATTGACGGTGATCTCCGGAATGTCTTGACGTTTCGAAGGAAGATCTTCTTCTGAACAAAGATGTGGGACAAAAACTGTCTTTCAATAGTTCATATCCTCTGGTGACGCCTCACAATTATCAAAGATTTTCAATAATCATAACAGCTGTAATGTATAGTAGAACCTGCCATGGGCTAAGATGACTGTAATGCCGATAAAACCATATAACATTATAAAACACTACGATATAGGATTATAAAACATAGAAACATAACAACATAAGGTGCTATTAGTAATACAATTCCTATTTGCGGTGGCATATTGGATATGTCTCCAGCTGCTGAGTCAGTTCAGTGACGTCCTGAGTCACTCGGTGCGATGAGCCAGATGTTGAAACTGAGGGCTGGCCTCATTGATGGTATTAGTGGGGCGGCTCCTAATCGAAAGCCTGGTGGAAGAGCTCCGTCTTGCAGGCCCTGCGGAGCTGTAATAGGTCCCGCAGGGCCCTGATCTCTCCCGGGAGCTCGTTCCACCAGTAAGGAGCCGCTACTGAAAAGGCCCTGGCCCCAGTCCTACAAAAGACACGTTGTGCAGCTAAAATTCATGGACGGAGCACTCCTGTCGCTCTCAAGGCTGCAACCTGGAGGTTGGCAACCCTATCCAGGGTGCTTTTTGGCCTCCTGGGGAAACCTTCGCGCTCCCTGGGATACACATGGGTTTCCCCAGCTGGCCAAACAGCGGACCCCTCTGGGCCAATTAGCCTTGCCAGGTGCCCCCAGTGGTAGGCAGTCTCTCTTGCCCCGGGGAGGGGGGGACATGGGGGTGGGGGCCATGACTGCATGCTGCCATTTCCCCCCTCCCCCACCCCTCCCTGGCTAGAAACCCTCGGGGGTCAGTCCACAGCAGGAAAACAGTGCAGGGGAAGGCTGAACCTTCTTCTCCATACGAACTTTGATCCTGATCTTGACTGGGCACTATGCGAACAGGAATTGAGGAAAACCCACGACTGATCCCTGATTGTTGCTGACCTCTATGTGGGGGGGCGGCAGAGATCCCTCGGAACTACAACTGATCCCCAGACTACAAAGACAGCTTACTTATCTATTATTTATTTATCTGAAACATTCCTTCCACTCCTCCTGGAGAGCATGGCTGCTTTGGAAGGTGGACTGTATGGCATTTATACCCTTCCAGTTTGGTGTGGTGGTTAAGTGCGCGGACTCTAATCTGGGAGAACCGGGTTTGATTCCCCACTCCGACACATGCAGCTGCTGGTGTGACCTGGGGTCAGTCACAAGTTCTTTCAGAGCTGTTCTCTCAAGATTAGTCCTTGAAAGAGCTCTCTCAGCCCCACCTACCTCACAGGGTGACTGTCGTGGGGAGGGGGAGGGAAAGGAGATTCTAAATCACTCTGAGACTCCTTTGGGTATAAATCCAATCTCTTCTTCTTCTTGAGAGCCAGTTTGGTGTAGTGCTTAAGTGCGCGGATTCTAATCTGGGAGTTCTGATCAGAGCTGTTCTCTAAAGGGCCGTTCTCGAAAGAGCTCTCTCAGCCCCACCCACCTCACAGGCAATGTTCCCTCTAAGCTGTGGAGTCTTGTGAGCAAAAATTCTACTTTGTGAGCTGCTGGCATTAAAGTCGTGAGCGATCTATTTGGCTGCTGGATAAATTAGTTTGCTCTGGAGCCTTCCTTCCTGAGCTAAGACAAAAACGTGTGAGCCGGAGGCTAAAAAACTGTGAGCTAGCTCACACTAACTCAGCTTAGAGGGAACACTACTCACAGGGTGTCTGTTGTGGGGAGGGGAAGGGAAAGGAGATTGTAAGCCACTCTGAGAATCCCTTGGGTAGTGAACGGCGGGGTATAAATCCAATCTCCTCCTCCTCCTCCTCCTCCTCTTTTTCTTCTTCCAGGCTCCACCCTCAAATCTCCAGGTATTTCCAAACCTGGAGCTGGCCACCCTATGACCACAAAGTGGGGATCCCAGACACCCAGCCTGTGGACCTCTTGAGGTAAGACTCGAACGTACTGATGTTCTTCCTGGGCTCAGAGCTCTGCTTCTGCAACAAGAACCTAAGAAGAGCCCTGCTGGATCAGGCCAGTGGTCCATCGAGTCCGGCGTCGTGTCTCAGTCAGAGACCAACCAGTCGCCGTGAACGGCTGAGGCCTTCCCCCTTTGTTGCCTGGTTTCCTCCTCTGCATATGGAGGCCAGGAAAAGCACTGGGTCTTCAGGCCTACCGAGACGTCCCACTCTGTGTCGTGGCCCCCCGGCATCCCTCCCGTCTTCTCAGGTGCCACTTTCTTTTCCAAAGCTCGGCCCTGAAGGCCAGTTGAGTAGCTGTGGGAAGCTTTGGCTCCGATGGCTTTCGGCTGTGCTCCCGCAGAGTGCAGGGGGTTGGACTAGATGACCTGTGAGGTCCCTTCCGACTCTAACATTCTATGATTCTATGAACGAGGAGTTTTCCTCATTGCTGCCGAGAACAGGGGAGCGGCTGACTTGCCACTCTTCCAGGCCTCCGTGGCATTTCCATTTGTGGCTACCGCCGCCGCCACAGCCTTTAGCATCTCAGCTTTTCAAAAGGTCCCGGTTCCCTGGAGCCAGGTTGCTGAAATCTCCCTCTCTGTGTGTCTGAAAGCATTC